TTTTCACGTTCGCGTGCAATGGATTCCTCCCCCAGACTAGCGAATATAGATATATCCCTGCAGTTTTAGCTTCGCAGTTTGTTCGGTAAGCGAAATTGCTATTTCAGCACAAATATCTTTGATGTGTCGTAAGGCGTGGGGCAACTGAAATTCGAAACTCCATTTAGGTATACGATTTTCTGGATGGGCGATAAATATTCAGGCATAATTGCAACTGTAGCTTTAAGCTGCTAGTTTTCGTGTTGACACGGTGCCAACAGTGAATTTCGACATGACCGTACACGCAGTGCAACCATGCGCGATTGTTGAATTTGAAGTTTTTAGTTTACAAATGGAAAGTAAACACTAGCGTGAAATTTCAGCTAGCTTATCTGGTCCTCGAAGCCGTTTTCCCGCCGATAAATTCAAATATTTTTTCAAGGGTCCATAGGCGTGCATGACTGATAATATAAAAGGATAAGGTGACACATGGGATGGGAAATTTCAGCCCAGTCTTCCTGGTTGCTAACTTGAAAGTGAAAGAAAAAGTTCACGTGCTTCTAACACGCACACTGTGTTTTCGCATTTGCATAATGTTCGAGCATGCATAAAAATGGATGATGTGCCTGCATCTAAATTTCAAGCAGGATCAAGCAAAGTACACAGCTTTCAAACAAACTAGTGCCTGGAAGTGTTTTGAGTTAATCCATAGTCTGCATCTTGCAGACGCCGCTTAAATAAAGCTCGAATTAGATTTTGCACAATTATCACAACAGGGATTCCTACTTAAAATGTGCTAAAATTTCAGACATACATTGGACCAGTGCTTATTGCGGTAAATCCATTTAAAGAGATGCCTTACTTTTCCGATAAGGAAATGGAGCTCTATCAAGGAGCAGCACAGTATGAAAACGCGCCTCATATTTACGCGCTTGCTGATACTATGTTCAGGTTGCTATGAATTTCAATAAATTCCCATATTTTTCGTTTTTTTTTTTTGAGTTTTTACTGTAGCGCTGCTACAGCCAGTAAAAACGCATACTGTGGAGAGGTCGTCTGTCTGAGTGAACTTTGTCTCCCACTTTCATCTCAGCAACCAGAAAAGCTGGGAAGCTGAAATTTTGGACATGTTTTTACCCTGTGTTTCATCCTCCCGTTTCAAAATTTTCGCTCATAAGCTCTTAAATCCAGCGTACGGAGCCCCGAAAAAAATATGCAGATTTCTTTGGCTGGAAACGACTTCACGAACCAGGCAAGTTACAAAGCTGAAACTTTGCTGGAATTTTATTTGTGCATGAACTAAAAATTTCAAATTCAGCTGTCGCGCATGCTGATGCAGCGCGTACAATCACGTCAAAGTTTGTAATTTTGTACTGTGCTAACTTTGCCGGAAAAAAATGAGTGAAATTTTTTCAAAATTTTTGTCGTCCATATGGGAAATCGTACGCCTAAAATAATTGGCGAATTGCACTTGCGCTACGACTTAGGCCATTTCAAAGAAATTTTGCAGCGAAGTGGCTATTTCGCTTGCAGGATAAGGTACAAGGCTGAAACTTCGCTGGGATATTCTACTTTCAAGTGCAGTCTTAAATCTGCTTGGAAGTGAAATTCCCTGCAGGTGTTCACGGGAAATACTCAAGTTTACTGAAAAGTCAGAAACGAGTGCGTTTTGCAGAGAATTTCACTTGCAGAGAACGACCGCCCTCATCCAAATATGTAAATAATGAACATTCAGTTCATTTGCATACTTGGATTTTTATGCATTTTTGCCTATACGCAAATTGCAAAAACGCATATTGAGACGATCCCGTCTGTGTGTGTATGTATGTGTGTGTATGTGTGTGTGTGTGTGTTCGTCTTCCGAGTATTTCAACTCCGCAACCAAGCAAGTTCCAGCGCCGAGATTTTGCTAATGGGTGCCCCGGCCAAGTGCGACCCCAGAATCGCGGTACCATCCCTCACGCACATCTGGGCCCCGCGTACGAGAGGAGGAAAGTTTTGACGGGAAAACTGATAACTCGGGAACTCGAAAAGATAGGAAGCTAAAATTTTGAGGTTATGTTCTCCGTCCAAATATAACCCAAAGATTTCAAATTCAGCCTCCAAGGGTGCGTCGTTCTCACGTACGGCCCGTGAGACTTTTCGGCTGGAAAATGGCTAACTTGGGAATTAGTAAAGGTGGGGAGCTGAAATTTTCAAGGAATGTTCCCAATCCACTTACGACTTAAAGTTGTCAAATTCAGCCTCCAGTTATGCGTGGTTCCCGCGTGCGGCCCCGTGAGATTTTTCGGCGGGGAAATGACTAACTCGGGAACTAGCAGATCTGGGAAGCTGAAATTTTCAGGGAATGTTCCTAGCCCAGTTACGACTTAAGTTT